GCTGGAGCTGCTGTTGTTTTGCTGCATCTGCTGCTGCTTCTGCTGCTGCTGCTGCTGCTGCTTTTGCTGCTGCAGCTGCTGCTTCCGGACTGCCGCCAGCAGCAACGACTGCCTCTGATGCAGCAGCAGCAGCAGCAGAGGCTGCTTTGTCCGCAGCTGCAGCAGCAGCAGTTGCTGCTGCTGCTGCAGCAGCAGCAGCAGCAACAGGCACGTCAATCCTAAAGTAGGAACCGTTGGAGACACATGGCTCCTCAGACAGCACGCGCTGGGCGTAGAGCTCTGGGTCCATTAGGGTTTAGGGTTTAGGGTTTAGGGTTTAGGGTTTAGGGTTTAGGGTTTAGCCTTAGGCCCTCGAATGCAGGATCTCTTTCTATTAATGAAATGCAGCAGCTCGAGACTGAGGCTAGGAAATACTTGCACTGGCTTTAAGCGCAGGCTAGGGTTTAGGGTTTAGGGTTTAGGGTTTAGGGTTTAGGGTTTAGGGTTTAGGGTTTATGGGGGGCCCGGGGCCCCTCGGCCGAGATGGTGTTGGGGCCTTCGCCAGCAGGGCCAAAAGTATTTGAAATAAAATCGAATTAATTAATTTTAATTTAAATAAAAAATAAAAAATAAAAGAAGAGTTTCAAAATTAATAAAAAAGATAAATAAAGAAACATTTGCTGCTGCTGCTGCTGCTGCTGCTGCTGCTGCTGCTGCTGCTGCTGCAGCAGAAAACAGAGCAGCAGCAGCCGCTGCTCTCGAGTTTCCCTTCAGCAGCTGCTCCCGCATGCAAATAAAACAAAATAAATGCAAAAATAATTTTAATTTTAATTTTAAATTCAAATTTAAATTCAAATTTAATTTAAATATGGATATAAAAGTCTAAATGCGAAAATTAATAAACTCTCGATACCCCGTGGGGCCCCCAAAGGCAGTCCTGGGGGCCCCTCAAAGGTACCCTTGGGGGCCCCCCAAAGGTACCCTGGGGGGCCCCCAAAGGTACCCTTGGGGGCCCCTAAAGGCAGTTCTAGGGGGCCCCTGAAGGCACTCTTGGGGTCCCCTAAAGGTACCCTTTGGGGCCCCTAAGGGTACCCATGGGGGCCCCCAAATGGCAGCCTTAGGGCCCCTAAAAGCCAGCTTTGGGGGGCCCCTAAAGGCCCCTTAGGGGGCCCCCAAAACTATAATCTCTTGGGGGCCCTTCAGAGGGCCCTGGGGGGCCCCTAAAGGTACCCTTGGGGGCCCCTAAAAGGGCCCCTGGGGGCCCCCAATAGACCAAAAGGTACACTAGGGGGCCCCCGAGAGACCAAAAGGTACACTTGGGGGCCCCAAGAAGGTCCTTTCAAGGTACCCTTGGGGGCCCCTGAAGACACTCTTGGGGGCCCCTAAAGGTACCATTTGGGGACCCCTTGGGGCCCCTCAAAAAGACCCTTGGGGGCCCCTTGTGGGCCCCTAAAACAACCCTTGGGGGCCCCTTGGGGGCCTCTAAAAGGGCCCCTGGGGGCCCCTTGGGGGACCTTTAAAGGACCCTTGGGGCTCCCTTGGGGGCCCCCAAATATATCTTTTCTTGGGGCCCCCCCAGGGGGCCCTTAGGGGCCCCAAGGGGTACCTTTAGGGCCCTCTTGGGGGCCCCTCGGGGGCCCTCGGGGGCCCCTGAAGGTACCCTTGGGGGCCCCTAGAATTATGTTGGCTTCCTACTGCTGCATTCCTTTATTTATTTTTTTAATTTTATTTGGAAATTTGTTTCTTTATTTGTTAATTAATTAATTAATGTTTATTTATTTATTCACTTGTTTATTTATTTGTTTATTTATTTATTTACCATTTATTTATTTATTTATTTATATATATACATATTCATTTATTTATTTATTTATTTATTTTTTATTTATTTGTTTATTTGTTTGTTTAATTATTCTTTAAATCTTTAAATTAATTGCCCACAACAACATGTCAATATAATAGCCAGAGGAAATATCAATCTACCAAATAATGAACTACAAAAGAATTATTAACAAATAAATAAACAAACAAGCAAATAAATAAATAAATAAATAAATATATTAATTAACTAATTGATTTATTAGTTAATTAGTTAATTAATTGATTAATTAACTAATTAATTAACTAATTGATTTATTAATCAATTAATAATTAATTAATTACGTTTGTGT